GAGGAGGAGGAGGAGGAAGGAGGAGCGATACTGATGATGCCGATGATGATGACGACGGTGATGATGGTGATGCTGATGCTGATGCTGCTGCTGATGATGCTGATGACAACGCTGATGTTGATGCTGACGATGATGCTGATGATGATGAGGAGGAGGACGAGGACAAGGACGAGGAGGAGGATAATGATGATAATGATGCTGATGATGATGATAATGCTGCTGATGATGCTGATGATGAGGAGGAGCGAGGAGGAGGAGGAGGAGGAGGAGGAGGAGGAGTGGAAACCAAAGAGTCACCAATGATGTTGGAATTAACCCGCCCTCCCTCCAAGCTCCCTCTTCACAAGCCCCTGCAACGGTTCATTTCCACAGAGGGAACTGCCCCGTTGGAAGACAGCAGCTTGAAGATCCCGAAGCGTTCCAAAACATGGTTATCGGGATTTCATCGCCACGTATCAACCTGACTGCTGCGTTCTGACGATCCAGAATAATGCCAGAACGCCGTGTGTGGGGACTTCAACACAGCGAATCAGCATTACCGTTGCGCCCGCATAATCCTGAATCCTTCCACAACACCATTTCTGGTACGTTGACCATGGGAATCCGTGAAGCTCTTGCAAAGGTTTAAAACCAATGTGCGCGGCGCTGACGCAAGAGCCACATTTTGAAAACGACCCGCCCTCAACCCGTGAAGCTCCTGCAAATGTTTAAAACGAATGTGCGAGGCGCTAAAGCGAGATCGACATGTTGAAAAGGATCCGCCCTCAATCCGTGAAGCTCCTGCAAATGTTTAAGACGAATGTGCGCGGCACTACGGAGAGAAACACATTTTGAAAACGACCCGCCCTCAATCCGTGAAACTCTTGCAAACATTTAAAAGAAATATGCGCGGCGCTAAAGCCAGTACCACATTTTGAAAACGACCCGCCCTCAATCCGTGAAGCTCTTGTTAATTCTGAAAACGAATGTGCGCGGCGCTAAAGCGAGAACCACAGTTTGAAAAGGAACCGCCCTCAATCCGCGAAGCTCTTGCGAATCTATTAGAACGAATGTGCGCAGCGCTCAGGCGAGAACCACATGTTAGAAACGACCCGCCCTCAATCCGTGAAGCTCCTGCAAATTCTGAAAAATGTGCGCGGCGCTAAGGCGAGCGCCACATCTTGAAAACGACCCGCCCTCCATCTGTGAAGCTGTTGCCACTTTTCAAGCTTCATGGTCATAGTTGGTGAGGAAGTCTCAAGCGCAACACCCGGCGCGCCCTAAAAACCAGCCTCGGGGTGCGACAGGGAGGAGTTATCTATACGGAGAAGGAGGGGGAGGAGAAGGAGGAGGAGGAGGAGGCGTAGTTCAAGACCAAGTCCAGCGTGGCATGATAGATACGGTCGTACACCTCCGAAGGGTGAGTAAGGAGGTATGCCGTGACGCCCACATGGTGTTTGTCAATGAGGAGGGGGTGGAGGAGGAGGAGGAGGAGGAGGAGGAGGAGGAGCAGCAGCAGCAGCAGGAGAAGGACGAGGAGGAGGAGGACGAAGAGGAGGAGAAGGAGGAGCGAGGAGGCGAAGGAGGAGGGAGAGGAGGAAGAAGGAGGAGAGGAGGAGAAGCAGGAGGAGGAGGAGGACGAGGAGGAGGAGGGTGAGGAGCAGGAGGAGCGAGGAGGAGGAGGAGGAGGAGGAGGAGGAGAGGAGAAGCAGCAGCAGCAGCAGCAGCAGAGCAGCAGCAGCAGCAGGGGCAGGAGGAGGAGGAGGAGGGAGCGAGGAGCGAGGAGGCGGAGGAGGAGGAGGAGGAGCAGCAGCAGCAGCAGCAAGCAGCAGGAGGGGCAGGAGGAGGAGGAGGAGGAGGAGGAGGAGGAGGAGGAGGAGGCAGGAGGAGGAGGAGGAGGAGGAGGAGGAGGAGGAGGAGGAGGAGGAGGAGGAGGAGGAGGAGAGGAGGAGGAGGAGGAGGAGGAGGAGGAGGAGGAGAGCGAGGCGGGGGAGGAGCGAGGCGAGGAGGAGGAGGAGGAGGAGGAGGAGGACGGAGAGGAGGAGGAGGAGGAGAAGAGGCGGAAGAGGAGGAGAGGAGCAGCAGGAGGAGCAGGAGGAGGAGAGAGGAGGAGGAGGAGGAGGAGGAGGAGCGGAGGAGGGCAGGAGGAGGAGGAAAAGGAGGAGGGGGAGGAGGAGGTAGGAGCAGGAGGAGGAGGTGGAAAGGAGGAGGAAAAGGAGGGGGAGGCGGAGGAGGAGCAGGAGGAGGAGGAAAAGGAGGAGGAGCGAGGGAGGAGGAGGAGGAGGAGGAGGAGGAGGAGGAGGAGGAGGAGGAGGAGGAGGAGGAGCGAGGAGGAGGAGGAGGAGAGGACGAGGAGCGAGCGAGGACGAGGAGGAGGAGGAGGAGGAGGAGGAGGAGGAGGCGGAGGAGGAGGAGGAGTAGGAGGAGGAGGAGGAGGAGGAGGAGGAGGAGGAGGGAGGAGCGAGGAGGAGGGAGGAGGAGGAGGAGGAGGAGGAGGAGGAGGAGGAGGAGCAGGAGAACGAGGAGGACGACGAGGAGGAGGAGCGAGGAGGAGGAGGAGCGAGGAGGAGGAGGAGGAGGCGGAGGAGGAGGAGGAGGAGGAGGAGGAAGGAGGAGGAGGAGGAGGAGGAGGAGGAGTAGGAGGGGGGAGCCGAGCCGCCCGCTCTCCTGCGGCGAGGCCTGCGCCTGCCCCCCAGCGCCGCTCGGCAGCGAGCTCGGCCGGTCCAGCGCCCCGCCGAAAGCGGCGGGCGCGGAGCCGCTGCCGGCCGTGAGGTCGGCGCCGGTGGCGTCGTCCATGGCGGCGGCCGCGGCCGCAGCCGCGAAGGGCGCGCGGACGGGGTAGAGCCAGACCTCCTCGCGTTGTAGAACGAATCACGAAAGACGGGTTTTTTGTTCCATATTTTCGGCGTCCGGGGGATCTTTCCAGGACTCGGGACCGTCAAAAATCGACTCAGGAGGGACAACTGGTTCCGGGGAAGGGATCGAGACCTCTGGGGGTCGACGTTGCGAAAAAAATATGAGTTCGGGGGTCTGGGGAGCCAGCTGCTCTCCCGTCCGTCTTCTGGTCCTCCCAGCCTCCTGCTCCTCCTCCTCCTCCCCCTCCTCCTCTTCCTCCTCCTTCTCCTCCTCCTCCTCCTCCTCCTCAGTGGGTCACTCCCCGCCCTCGTTCTCTGGCTCCTGTTTCTCCTCCTGCTCGTCGAGTGGCGCTGTGAAGATCGCTGGGGCGCGAATGAACGGTGTCGATCAATGGGGGGGGAAGAGAGGTGCCGCTTTCGGGTCTCAAAAAATGAATTTCTGGGCCCCAGGGGGCCCCTTCAAGGTCGGCAGCCCTCGCATTCCCCCCCATTTCTCGCCCCCCATTACGCCGCCGGCACGCTTATTACGCGCTGTCTCCCACCTCGGACGGCGTGCACCGAAGAAGCCCTGGCAACGGGAAATGGCGCGCAAAGGAGGGGCCCTCACAGGGGGGGGGGTTCGCCTCACAGGCATGATGGCGTGCCTTCCAGAGATCGATCTTGCACGCTATCTTTGCAACGCCAGCAGTATGTGGCATCTTCGGGGGACCTTGTCTGTCCCGTCGCGCTCCGACCCGTGCCGAATTCCACGTCGGGCTCGTCGAATCCGCGTCGAGTCCACGCCGAGTCCGCGCCGAATCCGCACGGAGCCCGCGTCGGGCACGAGAGGAGGCACAACTTGTTGGGACGGGCGGGGCCCCCCGAGGGTGCAAACGCGAGCGGGGGCGGGGCGGCGCGGCAGAGCTTTTGCGCCACTGGGTGGCGCGGGCCTTTTTGGTACGGTTTCGGATTGTGCACAGCCCCCCGCGCATTGAAAAAATCGAGCGCGCTGTTTTGGATCCAGCGTATTGGATTGGTACTGTTTTGGATTGGTATACTGTTTTTGGATTTGTGCTGTCATTGGATTGGTACTGTTTTTCGATTGGTACTTATTGTTTTAGAGCCAGCGCATTGAACAACTCAAGACGGAAATTTGTCGCAATGTTCGGCCTCTCGGGGCCATCGCCGGGCCCCAGGACCGTCAAAAAACGACTCAGGATGAAGAACCGGTCCCAGGAAATTGGTCCAGACCTTAATGGGCCTCGGAAGCGGCAAGGGGACCGTTTTCCCTGTTTCCGAAAAAATGTCTTTTGAAAATGGAAACAGGAACAAAAAGGCGACCAGAAACGGCACAAAAACCTCTCCAAGATTGGAACCGGAGCTGGAACCGGTAAAACACGGCGAAGGAACCGGTCAAAAAGCGGCGTCGGAACCGGTAACAAAAACGGCGCCACGAAAACGGTAAAAAACGGGCCTGTCGTTTCCAGGGCCCACTGAGGTCCACACGTCCTGGGACCCCGCGTTGAACAAATCACGACTTCGGATCTCTTGGACGGCACCCCAAGGAGGTCCCCGCGGGCCGCAAGTGGCCCCCCCGAGTAGTCCGCGACGGCCTCAACACCCCAGCGCCGCCTCTGGCGGCGCCCCTGGGGCGCTCCGCGCTCCAGGGGTGAGGTGTTGAGACCGGCCTGGGCTCCACGTGGGGGCTCTCCGCGCGCAACCCGAAGCCTTACCCGGCCTTTCGTTTTTTGTTTTGTTTTGTGGACTACACGTCTAGGATCATCCGAGGGTGCCCTCAGAGCACGAAGGAGTGAAGAGGAAAAGGGGGAAGAGAGAGCGAAACTGTCAATGAGGACAGCCCTACTCACCCCCACCCCCAGCTGGGCCCCCACTCCCGACCCGGTGATCCACAGGGTCCTGGCTGGGGGTGGGGGTGTTTTCTTGGGTGTGGGAGTGGGTTTTTGGAGGCCTCAAAAAACCACCCTCACCCTTGGCCAGGACCACTTGGACCACCAGGTCGGTACTGGGGAACCTGGCTGGGGCTGGGAGTGGGTTGTGCTGTCCTCAGTCAACGGGGGCACGGCTTGGCTGTTACCACATGTCGGTGATCTGCACACCCAAGCCAGTCAGGCTTTGCAGGATTCTGCGAGGTCCAGGATCCTCCTCCTCCTCTTCCTCCTCCTCCTCCTCTTGTTCCTCCTCTTCCTCCTCCTCCTCCTCCTCCTCTTCCTCCTCCTCTTCCTCCTCCTCCTCCTCCTTCTCCTCCTCCTCTTCCTCCCCTTCCTCCTCCTCCTCCTCCTCCTGCTCCTCCTCCTCCTCCTCCTCCTCCTCCTCCTCCTCCTCCTTATCCTCTATCCCATCCTCTCCCTCCTGCACCCAAGCCCGGCCCGATGTGACAAACCGAACAGGCGGAGCCACCATGCGTGAGATTGCAGAGAGTCTCGACGAAGGTTCGCTGCGCCGGACGCGCCGGCGAGGCCAAGAGGGGCCTGCCTGGGCCAAGGACTGAGTCACCAAATCTGTCATGCTGCCAGTGCAGCCAATCGTGTAGACGGGAGTATTCAAGAAGGGTGCGGTGAGCCGCGCGAAGGAGATCGCCTGCACCTAGCGCCACCCAGGATGTGATCTTCGGTCCCCCCGCCAGGTGCAATTGGAGCCGCGCTGAGGTGGAGAAGGCACCCTGTGGTAAGCCGAACGCGCGTGCCAGGGCGACCAGCCCTTCTTTGGCCAATCAGTTCGGCATGATACGATCTTGCGCCACATGCGGGCATTGTAGTGCGTAGGCAGTTTCGCGACTGGAAGACTACTGCGCCCCGCTGTCCTCGAACGGGAATGCGCCGTCATGGCAGGGGCCAGCCGGCAAGGATCGGCATCGGCCTCGGGTCCAAAAACCAGTCCCAGGTAATTGAGCTATCCGACGATCGCGATGCGTGCAAAATAAGGAACGCGACGATTCAGCGCCGCGCGAACCTCCAGGGCCATCTCTTCAGAGAAGGCGCACTGAAGAGGAACCAGCTTGCACCTGTCGGTCCTGCGCTTCAGCGTCGCGATTAGCTCGGACATGTCCATGACCTCCGCGAGGATGGTTAAGGAGGCGAGACCCTTCGCGGCGCAGCCAATGCCGTCCGCGCAAGCTCGTGCAATGCCAGCGCAAGGGGCCTCCATGCGCACCTGCAGGCCGACGAAGAACGGTGAAGTAGCTGCCGCATATATCGAATCGCTGAGCCCGCAACCCAGAACGACGCCCTAAATGGCCCACCACGCATGCGTCGGCGCGTTCTGCGCGGGCGCAAAAGCTTCAAGGTCCGCGTGCACGACTGCGAGGAGCGCCCGAGGGACTCGCATCGCCCCATAGACGAGGCGCATGCACTCCCGGGACAGGCTCGGGCACGCTGCTCCGAAGTCGAGGCCCGCCTGCGCAGGGAGGTCGTTCAGAGCACGAGGAGCACTCAAATCGACTCTGCTCAGCGCATCCAACTCTAGAACGTTGACGCCGAAGTTCCTGGGCGGAAGAAAGCCCCCCTGCGACCGGGGCGTCCGATCGCGCAGAAGGGGCGAGGAGCAGACGTTGATCGTCGCAGCGATGATCTCCAGGTCGGCGCTTCGCAGGCCGAGCGCCCTGACGGCCGCGGGTGCGCGCGCAACCTGCCGAGACCGAGTGGGTGGCCTCCTCGCCCTCGGGCAGCCAGACTTGCCGCGCGTCGTTCGGGGCATGACAAGCGACAGACCATACAGGACCCACATCATCGAGTCCGAGTATATATTCAGGCCACACTCAGAAGATTGCCGCGCCGAATCGAGGATGCCATCCAAGCTGGGTTCCGAATGGTGAAGGCGACGCGCAGCAGACTGAAGGGGGGCTGGAGTCGGCGGGTCAACCGCGTTGAAGTCGAGCGAGCGAACATGCTGCGCCGCGCAGTCCGCCACTCGAGCATGATCGATCGGCTCGGCGGTGAAGATCGGCTTCCAGCGCACAGCGGCGCGGCCATGCACGCGCAACTTCTCCGCGACGGCGCCGTCAGCATCAGCGGAGGCCCGAATGCCCTGATGGTCCGAGCGTTTAGACAGTGGCGACCCAATAATAGCGCGACGCTCGAGAGCTTGGCGCCGGGGACGGAGCTGCTGCTAAGGGCGGGAATTAGCGAGGCCCGCCCCCCGCCGTCGACGACGGCGGCCCGCGCGCCGCCATATTCTCGCTCCATCGCTGGGAGGGCGGCGCGCACATGTGGGGATGCGCCAATTGAGATCGATGGAAACTCGGAAGCCGCCTGGTGGCTTTCGCGAAGACGAACCGCCAGCGGCGAATCACAGTGCCAGACCGCGCGCGCAATCTGCCGAGCAAGCGCCGGCTGAGATCCCAGGCCCTCCGGCTTTCATCTAAAGAATCGATCGCGAACTGCGCGAGCGACTTCGCGAACGGCTTGAATAGCTCCAGCTGGCGCGGGGGCGAGCGGCCATGGAAGTTCAGCTTGTCGGCGGCATTGTTAAGAAACTCCTAAAATGCTTTCGACTGGAGGGTGCGTCGGGGGATCGCCCGGCAGTCGGCGGGCTTCTCCGCTCCCTGAACAATAGGGCAGACGTCGGCTGAGCGGTCGCTCGCCCCCTGCTCGGCAAGGGCTTCGGGGGGCCAGCCGCTCGCGCGACGGCGGTGACCTGACAGAATGCCCAAACAGGAAGACTGATCCAAAACCTGTCGATGACCGAGACGGAGCGGGCATCGGCAACGAAGTGGCCGGGTTCGCCCGAAGAAATCTTGGCGGGCGGCGCCGGCATCTTAAGCTGCCGACCCGCCCGGGCGCGCTGCCCCTTGCCCCGCGGCATTTTTCGCCCGGGCAGGTGAAGAAGGGGAAGAAGAAGAAGAAGAAGAAGAAGAAGAGGATGAAGAACAATAATAATAATAAGAAGAATAAGAAGAAGTGCGCGTGCGCGTGCGCGCGTGCGGGTGGGCGCGTGGCGGGGCGTGGTGGTGGGTGGGGTGGGGGGGGGGGGGGGGGGGGCGTGAGAAAAAATGCATCGCCGTG